ATATATTAAGCCATCATGTTAAATTTGTCATAAATTTGGACTAAAAATTTCTGTACATTCCAAAATAAAGTTAACATGTTTTTATTTGCTAAATAAGAGCAATTACTATCAAGTTTTAGCAGTATCAGACTTTAAACATTTTGTGACAAATATCAAGTTTTAGCAGATAATATTTCTCAAATTTGACGGCAAAAAAATAAAAAATGACAATTAGATTTTAAAATTCTCTGCATTTGTACTCCTATTTCGAAAATTTCTCAAAAAATCAATGTTAAAACTCAAAATGTAGAGGAAGAAGAAACTTCAATAGTGGTGGTGTGCGGTGAAGTCGATGGCTCCATGAGAGAAAAGTCGATCGGTCTGATGCACAGGTGAAGTCAACAATGACAACCATGGGATGAAGTCGACGATGACATGCAAACAATGCGATGAAGTGTATCTATGTGATGTGTAGGGGGAGAAGGATGTACACATGGCCACATGGGAGATCTAATGTGCTAGGGAGAAGGTGCAATAACCGAATGGAATGAAAAAGTGATATTACCCAAAATAGGACAAAAAATGTTTGAAAATTCCAAAATAGGACTTCCATGTTTTTATTCCTAAAATAGGACTTATTACTGTCATGTTTTGGCAATACCAGACTTCAAACATGACAGTATTTTCCAAACTTGGCACTAATTACTCCTATTTTGGGAATAAAAAACATGACAGACCTATTTTGGAATTTCCAAACTGTTTTAGTCCTATTTCGGGAACTTTCCCAATGAAAATTGCTTTTGTTTTAAAATAGGAGTAAGATTAGGGGTGGTTCGGTATGAGAATATTTTATCGCATACCTTTACCATACCGTAAACTTCCGGTATGCAAAAATACATACCGTTACCATACCGAAATTTCGGTATACTTTGTTTCAGTATACCAAAATTTCGGTACGGTAAGGTACGGTATCGGTAAATTACCATGATTTAATATAACAAATTATTATATGTCAAATGAAAAAAAAAAATCACTATTAATAATGATATACTAAAATCATTAATGCAAATTAATTATAAAATACCAATGAGATAACATATTTGTGTTCTATTCAACTTTTGACAAAAAATATTATAAATATCTATACATATTTGGAAAAAGGGTCAAATAGACCCATCTACTATTGTAAATCCATCATCTGAACCCATCTACTAAAAAAAGTACCATATAAACCTATCTACTCCAAAAAAACGATCAAATGACCCAATTTACCCGAAGTTCACCTTCTTTAGCCGGTCAATTACTATTTTTGATATTTTACATTCACTTTTTCCTTTTTTCATTTACGTTTTCAAAATCTTTTTGCTTTGCCTATCTTCTTCGTCCAGCTCCCTCCCACAGACTAAATGTCTTCAGGTTGTTGGTGTGAGGAGCTCCAAAGCTCTGAAGGCCCAAAGCTATTACTCAACTTCAATCTAGAATCGAAGACGTGAGAGCAGTCCAACGACGCCATCCTTTAGATTCGTCCACATGGGAGCGGTGGCTTCTCTTCTCGCTGTGGTGTAGGACCGCCGTGTGTGCAGGGTCGCCAAAGAATGGAGGAAGAAGATCTCTGCTCTCCATCGGAATCACTCTGTACCTTCACACAGAGATTATTGATCAGACTCCATTCACCTTCATCACTCTGCCACGCCCCATTAATAGGTTGTTGACCTTCAGTCTCCATGTTTCTGTCCTAAACAAAATCAGTGAGGAAGACTACCGATTGGGCGATAATATCAATTTTTTTTAAATAAAACAATTAATTGAAGTGTTAAGTTTTGGGGGACAAATACACGGTAACACCCATATAATAGTCTCAATATTTGCTTCGTATAAAATTGCAGTGGGAAGAAGATAATAGGTATGTGAATGGCTAAAGCACAACAGAGAAAGAAAAAATAAAAAAGAAAATTTAAAGAAAATATTTAATCCGTATAATTAGCAAGGAACCGGCTAAAGAAGGTGAACTTCAGGTAAATTGGGCCATTTGATCGTTTTGTTAGAGTAGATAGGTTTATATAATGCTTTTTTTAGTAGATGGGTTTAGATGATGGATTTACAATAGTAGATGGGTCTATTTGACTCTTTTTCCTAGATATTTCAACACATGATATATGAAGATAACAACACATTCTGCTAAAATAATTTAAACAACATAAATATAACTAAAATAACACTAATCTCCAACAAAAAGTATAAATAATTCAAGAAACATGGATATAAAGTCATTTATCCTTGAATAAGTGTTGTGTTTCTAGCTATTTTTACAATTTTAAGGAAATTATTGACTTGGAATTACGGTATGACGGTATACCGGTATACCGCTTGTTTCCAAAATATATACCGATACCATACCGAAGTAATTCAGTACGGTATCATACCGTACCAAAAGCGTCAGTATACCAAACATTTCGGTAAATTCGGTATTTTTCGATATGGTAAGTCCGGTATACCGAAATTTCGGTATTTTCCCCCACCCCTAAGTAAGATACTCCTATTTAGGGGGAAAACATACATGATCAATCCTATTTAAGAATTTCTACCTTGTTTTACTCCTACATGGCTACATGTAGGGATGGACTGGGCCTGGGCCGCCACGACAGGTACTGTTGGTACCGGCTCGAGCTAGATTTTCCGGGACTAGTACTAGCCTGGTACCCGGACCATTGGTTATAAGGGGCATGTTTCGAGCTTGATTTCTGACGGTCCCGACACAACGGCTATTTTATTTATTTATTATATGGGTGAGTACCAATCCGGGCCCAATTCTATTTGGGCCTGGACCAGAACCGATACCGGAGCAAATCATTCGGTAGCGGTCTCCACTTTTCCAAAACGGGTACCACCCGAGTGACGTGCACTTTGTCGTGAGTGCATTCAAAATAAATTCAATACTAACACTTATACGTAGTATAGGTGAAGTAGAGTTCGTATCCACAGGGAAAGGAATAATTTATCTTTTTAACGAAAGGAGTAAATAAAGGGGGGTTTTAGTTTGATTTGGTTTAATTAATTTAAACACGAAGATGAACGAGTTATATGGAATTAAATTCAAAGATAAAAGGGACTTGGCATTGCTACTTTCCACTTGTTGATAAATTTCAGTCGATCATTGTTATATCTATAACTTATCTCCTCTCGAATACTCAATCGAGGAGTATATCCAATTCATCGAGGAAAGTTATTAACAACGACCGTTCATTAATAACCCTTACTATTAGTCAAGTATAGAACAACGTACGCCATATACCGACTTGATAGTAGCATTTAATCTCTTAACTCCTTGATGAAATCAATTGAGATTGATAACCTCAACACAACGGTTTCGGTTTAACCAACAAAATTAATCCCTCTTAAGTTTACTAACCACGACCGTGCATTAATAAACCGAAGTTACTTACTTGTGAAACCATCAACGATTAACCATCGGTTCGTTGATCGTTTCTAGTAATAATTAATATGTGAAACAAAACTAGTTGATTCTTTAAGTAAAGTTCAAAAATATTAATATGAAATATGAATAGGAATTAATTAATACTCAAGGAAGAATATTAAGGAAAATGAATCCTACTATAGTTAATAGGGAAAATGGAAACTAATAATCCAACCTTTTAGCAGTCTTCTTTCAATAATCTCACCTTTTGATTATTCATGAATAATCCAATCTTTGCACCTCATCTTCATTCATTGGTTCCTGGTCGGTTAATGACCTACTATTCCAAGTTATTTTCTTATCTTTGCAAAATATTATCTTTGTGAAAGATGAGATTTATGGTATAATGATTTGCAAAGATAAGAAAATAGCTTGGAATAGCAGGTCATCAACCGGTCAGGGACCAATGAATGAAGATGAGGTGCAAAGGTTGGATTATTCATGAATAACCAAAAGGTTGGATTATTGTAAGAAGACCGCTAAAAGGTTGGATTATTAGTTTCCATTTTCCCTAGTTAATATCAAGATGTTAACTAATTGTCATCTTAGTAACACTCCCCAATATTAACATAGAAGAAGGAATAGCTATTACTAAGACCAATGTCAAGATGTTAACTAATTGTCATCTTAGTAACACTCCCCAACATTGATATAGAAATAGTATTTAAGAGAAGCATTAATATTCAAGGAAAGAAATTAAGAAGATAACTCACAGCTTTAATAATCAACAAGCTTCAAGAGCAACACCAAGAAATGGAAGTTTAGCTCCTCATTTGGAGACTAAACATGCTAAAAGAAATATAAAGAAATGCTATTCTAAACTGAGCTTAAGAGTATATAGGAATTGGTGTCTAAAAGTGAAGGGAAGGGGGTGTATTTATAGGCTTTTTGGGAGTGCAGCTCGGGTACTCGATCGAGTATATACAGATACTCGATCGAGTATGTGTAGAAACTCGAATTCGATCCATACTCGACCGAATTCAGAGTATAATTTATAGCTATACCCGATCGAGTATGTCGGTGTACCCGATCGGGTATAGACATTCGATCGTGGGGAAATCTTCTTCTGCATGTTCCTTTGTTTTCGGATCCGATCCGATTTGAAATTTCAACCAGATACCCGATCGAGTATAAGGAATACTCGACCGAGTATAGACAAAAATAAGGGTTTCCTTTTTTGTCTTGTGATTTTTCACCTTCCTTCCACTTTTGGGGTTCACCAACTATCCTTTGAGTGATAGTAGACCTGTTTGAGCTCAGAATGAACCTAATCTAAACAATTTACAAGAATTTAATAAACTAACCTATTACACCAAAAGTGTGTAATTTCCGAAATACTAATCAATAAAAAGTAACTTAAAAATGTAAACATACATACGGAAATTACACGCGTATCACCGAGCCCCACCCGGGTCCATCCCTAGCTACATGAGACAATTTCTATTATTTTAATTTATAAAAGATAATTTTACTTTCTTAACAAATAAATAATTACGCATCATTTTTAACTTCATTATTAACTATATAAGAGAAGTACTTGTTCATGGTTTTGTAGCTAGCGCAGGCAATACATACATATACATTAATATGCCCCGTAAATTATGTGTATGAAATTGGTAGAACACATAGTCATATACTGTGTAGCATGTTATGTGTTGGAACACATATAATAGGATCTTACATATGGGTTACGATCTTGCAATTTATGACCTTTGATTCATTTTCCAATCCTGCTAGGATCTCGAGTTCTACTACTATGCCTTGTATAATTCGATGTGCGTTTCATGTGAGAGTCAATACCATCCTACTTGCTGACAATAGATGAACTGATCGGATTGATCAGCCAAAGTCCGCTTCAGCCATAACATATTGAACAAACTTAGATACACAAGCTGTGGTTTTGAGAATTGATATCCTATGAATATTGATTCTTACAAATGCCCATTAGTCAGTCCGACCGAGTTCTCACATTCATAGATTATACAATTACATCCTACGAATCAGAAGTCTTCTCATGGCCGGAAGAAAGCCTCCTAATCTACCAAAACTGCCTTTGAAGTTTGAATAATTTGAGATTTCTTTTTCCTGGATGCAAAAAACAGTGCAAGAAGAGTGTCACACATTCTAAGAGCTGAAAAGTTGGGATGTATCTCAGCCCCATCAGCACTTCCCACAGCTCCCTCTGGTTGATGCTTATACACTAATTGCGCTGTTGTATGTTTAAACACCATCTTGAGTATGAGAGCCTGTTTCGGTAGTTTGGTTGAATTTCTTGAAAGGAAAAATTAAAATTCATATCTGCCATTTGTTCAAAGAAAAGAAAAACATACTCATTCTGCTTCCTGTCTGCCATTCAAAGAAACTTCTTGTTCTGGTTAGTCCGCTAAGGCTACAAAACCAGCTCTACATCTTGAGATTACACACATTAGAAGAATAGGGAGGTTGTTTAGCTAGTTCAAAGTCATACAAATATCATTAGATTGAGTGAAGTTTGTAAATTGTAATCGTTTATTAAATCTAACACTGGATTCAAGATGCATACATGCATCTATACCTGGATCAGCTTAAACCAAATATCTCTTCTGGAGGATCATAAACACGCTGATCGGGGAAGATCTCCTCAAAGTCTTGTTTCACCCTGTTCCTGAGCAAAGGATGTGGCAAAAGCCCCTTTAACAAAATCCTGAAAGGCAACTGATCTGGTGGGTATGGAGATTTCTTCATATCTTCATAAACATTCATCGCATCTGCTGGAGACCCATCCCTCAAGAACCCTCTAATAACTTCAGTATATGTCTGTGAATCTGGAAACAGATCTTCATTCCTCATGCTCTCCCATAACTCCATCGCTTCTTGCATCTCTTTTCGTCTAGCTAATGCGATTATCAAGTCCTTGTACAGATAAACATCTGGAGTGTACCACTTTTCCTCCCTAATCACCTTAAAGATCTGAAGTAGTAACAATTGTCATTCACTGTCAAAGCTGAAATTCATCCATCCATTGCAGATAAACAGAAAAATTGGTGCAATTACCTTTACCGCGAGAGAGACCTCCTCTTGCCGTTCGAGCTCGTTGAGTACCGCAATCATGTCCAATTTCAGAAGCCGAAGCACGTGAGTTTTCACGAACTTGTCCAGCTTCTCTTCGTCGTCTTTGAATCTCTTCACGCCTTGTATCACGAAAAGAGCCTCCTTTCCTATCATCTTCTTCCCTCTCCACAGCGGGCCTCTGGGCCGCCCGTCGTGGTACCCGCGGCCATTTCCGGAGTGAAAGGTCGGAAAAAATGGCGACGCCAAGGGAGGACATGAGAGTTTCGCCGCGGCGGCAGGTGTGTGGTAGAGTTGTGTAGTGGAGATCAGAGAAATGAAGACTCTGGATCTTGCAACGTGTCTAAACGACATTTCAGAGAGGAGATACCGGGAGACAGGAGTGCCTGAGGACGGCGGCGGGCGGCGGGCGGAGGGCGGCGGGCGGCGGGCGGCGGGCGGCGGGCGGCGGGCGGCGGGCGGCGGGCGGCGGGCGGCGACGGGGTTAGGGTTGCTCCGCTCTTATCGTTTAAACCAAACTGAAATGAAACAATAGTAAACAGAAATACAAGAATCACAGCAAACAAAGCTTATTCTAGTTTAGTTACAATTAGCAACCATTAAATAACTTCTCTAATCCATTTGAAACTAGACAAACACTGAATAAATTACTCGTACTACGTAATATGTAAATTAATAACCAATTCCAATAGATATAAGATCCTACGCCCGCCCTAGGATTAATCCCTAGGTGTTTCTTCCAGCGGTGACGATAGCCTCCTAGTCCGGACTTCTTTCTTATAGCAGCAAGTGATTTAGGAGCAGATTTCAACGGCGTAGCGAGTTTCCGAACATCACTAAGAGCGCAAATCGGGTAGGGTTATGTGCGGATTCAATTACCAATTGATGATGGCGATTTCCAAGCCACCAATCGAGAACAAGGTGATGGCAGGAGAGCATCGCCAAACAGGAGGGCTAATCGGGAAGGGTAGGTGCTCCGTCGGAGATGGCTGGGCAGTGAGCACGACGGATGGGAGGCAACGCAAGAGGAATCCACTCCGATTGGTTGATGCTTTGATCCACTCCGCATCAACAATCATAGCAGTGATCCGCCCTCCTCCTGAAGCACCGCCAGGGATTGAACGAGGTGCTACAGTTCGAGAATTTTATTTTGCTACTTTAAATTTCTTCATGTTTCGTTTTTATTTGGATCTTTACTCTGTTTTGGTTGTGCCGTCTTTTTCCGGCGAGAAAACTCTAGAACCTAGGACAGGTGACAAAAAGTCTGGTTTGCAAGTCATTAGCTCAGTTAATCCCAAAGCGGGATCAACAAATCTAATTGCTTCTACGAAAGTGATTGATTCTAAGTCTGGTTTTAGGGCGGACGTAGATAGAAGGCTTGTTGTCATTTTGTAACCTGTTTATGTTCTGTTATCATAATTTAAGCCACCTTCTTTAAAAAAAATTATAATGGGAGTTTTCGTTTTGGGGGAAATTGTCAATTTGGTTCTCATACTTTCACTAAAAAAATCAATTAAATTCTCGTACTTTTATAAAAAAAAAACCAATCAAATCCCCAAACTTTGTAAAAAAGTTCAATTGAATACATTTGCAAGTCACTTACCATGTGAGCAGGTCACCGTTGGCGTGACACACATGTATCAGCCCAATCAACAATAACTTTGCTGACGTGACACACACGTGGAAGGTGATTGATATCTAAGTCTAGTTCTAGGGCGGACGTAGATAGAAGGCTTGTTATCATTTTGTAACATGTTTATGTTTTGTTATCATAATTTAAGCCGCCTTCTTTAAAAAAACAATTCCAATAGGAGTTTTAGTTTTGGGGAAAATTGTCAATTTGGTTCTCGTACTTTCACTAAAAAAATCAATTAAATTCTCGTACTTTTATAAAAAAAAACCAATCAAATCCCCGAACTTTGTAAAAAAGTTCAATTGAATACATTTGCAAGTCACTTACCATGTGTGCGCCACGTCAATGGGTGACCTGCAAATATACTCAATTGAACTTTTTTACGAAGTTCGGGGATTTGATTAATTTTTTTAAAAGTAAGTCCGATGACCTAATTGACTTTTTCATGAACGTACAAGAACCAAATTGACAGTTTTCCCTTAGTTTTGAGACTGAAAGTTTGTGGTGTAGTTTGTTCTATTTATATTTGATATTATGATCTATTTATGTTTGGTGTGATTTCAAATTGAAGCAAGTCTAAATGAAAACATCTTTAGAATTAATTATTTTGTTAAAGAAAAACTTTTGTATGTTCACATAATTTGAAACAAACTATTTCATACCAGACTCACCATAACCCGAAGGCCCCCTCACATTCTTATTAAACACAGAAACGACTACCCTTGCTAGAGCAGTTCGAGTCGCTAACCTTGCGAGAGATTTGAAGATTAACTCGACTTTTGAAGCCTTCTTACTTCTCAACATAAAAATCCTACCCACCACAGACGCGCAACACACACAAACCACAAAAAGTCCAATATAAATGACAAACTGAAAGATAAAATTATTAAAGTGCAAACTAAACGAGACTGCCAATACTTGTCAAGCTCCATTATTCTTGATCCTTTCTAGCTGAGATCTTTCACGAACAATCAAAACTCCAACTCTTTCATTCCATGGTGGTGGTGCACGAGGCCGGAGGTCGGGCCATCAGGACCGCTGTGATTGATACTTCATCACCGATTGAACTCTGCGCTTCACCAAACCTATTGCTTGTCTTCAATCTGCTACTTGTTGGGAACAATGCTTTTCCACCGGCCATACCTGACTTTTCCGATGTGATAGTACCGACAAGCACTAGACTCCCATCCGTTGCACCTGAAGCTATGGCTTCCACCAATATGTCTCATCTTCTTTGTCTATCTCCATATTGTCGTAAGCCTGTGCCAACCTCTCTACCTCATCACGTGCATTAATTGCCTTCATCCCCCAACCAAACTTGCACAGTCTTACAAGGTCATGCTCATACACAAGAAAGCTCTTTTTTTTTATACTCTTGGGGACGTCGGTGGGATTAATCAGGGCTGAAAATCACTCCATTGAGTTTCGAACCCGAGACCTCCCGTAAGAGAGAGTGAGTTGGCGACCAGCTGGGCTGGACCGCATCCTCACAGAAGAAAGCTCCTACTCGCAAGCATCCGCCACCGCAAAACTACTCCTATCGATCGAGCGAAAATATCTACTCCAAATCCCTATCCGAGAACACCCTTCTACCTCCCCTTACCGTCGAAGAAAGGCCGCCGTCGCCCCTGGCAAAACCCTTCAAATCCCACGCCTTGCCCAAGGCTCCCGTCCGCTTTTAAATCTATATATATATATATATATATATATATATATATATATATATATATATATATATATATATATATATATATATATATATATATATATATATATATATATATATATATATATATATATATATATATTAAGTCACTTAAGTCATTCTCCCGCCTAACATCAAGGGTATTTGCGTAACTCATCTTCTTAGCATCTCTTCGGCTCTTCGTATTTTCACGCTCTTTCTTCAACAATTCTACTCTTCCTCAATTATCGGTACATCTTGGCATCTCTTCTACAATTCTACTCTTCTAACCTCTTCTCTAATGATCTTCTTTTTCCCACAGCTTACCTGATTTTTGTGGTCCACCTAATTGGTTAAAAAAATTGCATTGTGCATTTACATGACATTGAAGGTGGAACTTCAGCTACAAGTCCTGAAGTTGCTAAATCAGTAAAAGTAAACCTGACTTGGTAACACAATTACTTGGCGGATGAATAGGGTTGGGCAAAAATACCGAAAAATCGGTATACCGCACTTACCGTACCGAAAAATACCGGAAAATACCGGAATATTGGTATACCATCATTTTTGGTACGGTATCATACCGTACCGATTTATTTCGGTATGGTAACGGTAAGTGTTTTCACATACCGCAGTATACCGGTATAATACCGTACCGACTCCCTACCCAAAAATTACTTTAAATTCTAAAATATTGTAAAAGTCAATTACAACTTTGGAGCCTAAACTTAATACTTAGGTTGATTACAAATATCAAAATACAAAAATAAAGGCCCAATATCCCAAACCCACTATAACCTACTAGGCTTCTATTACGTAACATTCAAATAAACTTCTCTAATGACTAATGAGTAATTTACTAATGTCTAGAAACATGCAAGTCCATCTTGTCCCAAGAGCTTGCGAGTCGCGGTGACTGAGCTGCTGACGAGTGTGACGAGTGTATCTACATAGGGATTCCGCGAGTCAAAACATACAACTTTGTCCGAAAGTCTTATTTAACTATTTTTTTTAAAATTATAAAATGACTAAATACACAATCATATTAGGAATAAATGATTTTATATTTATATTGTTTGAAAAAAATTATTTATTTTTGTTAGAGATCACGATTGATTTAATTATATCTATATTATTCAAGTTATTTTAGGAGAATATATTACTTTTGAATACGTGGCATGTTGAACTACTTAAATATACTAAAAATGATTATTGTTCAATATTGAATATGATATCAATAGATTATTAATTGTATTTTAAAACATTTTAACAATGGATTAAATATGTCGCTAGTAACACCGATTTAGTGTTTTTTATTAGTCTATGGTAATTTACCGATAACGTACCGTTACCGTACCGAAACTTCGGTATACCGAAATGCGGTATACCGAAACTTCGGTAAGGTAACGGTATATAAATTTTGTATACCGAAAGTTTTGGTACGGCAAAAATATGAGGAAAAATATTTGGTATACCGTACCGAACCACCCCTACGGATGAATCATGACTTTATTTTTGAAAAATATAACTTTTTATTGTAGTTAGTTCAATATGATTTTAAATACATCATGTTTGATGATTGTAGAATAGTATATGTGATATTTTTTAAGCAATGCGCTTATCATGAGTCAGGAGTGTTTTTTGCGCCTCAAGTAAGGGAGTACTCTACTGCTTTCAGTGTGCTCGTGACTTTGAGTACCTTTGGTGGCTTTGAGTACTACAAAGGAATGAAATAATGTATTTTGTTTTCATCTAATAATTTTCAGTAAAGTATGTTTATCAAATTTGATGTATGCTCGGATGTATGTAATATAATACTCCGTAATTGGAAAGAAATCCAATTATCGGGTTACGGTTAATGAATTATTTGTTTAATTGGGTTCTTTAAATAGGGCACGATACTTCCAAAAGTGTGTCATGTTTGGTTTTGCTGAGACTAATCGTTCTCTAAAAAGTGCTATTTGTATTGTTAGAATTACTCCGTATATTACCACAACTACAATTCTTTGAAATGAAATTGATCTAAATAGGACTAAAACATGGATTAAACTCCAAAATAGGACTTTAAGTTTTTTATTCCCCAAATAGGACTCCAGATTACAGTTTTGCCCTTCTTTAATTAAACTCTATTTCTCTCTTCTGCAATTCATCGCTACTCTGCCCCCCTGGCCTTCATCGCTACTCTGCCCCCTTCATCGCTGCTTTCTCCCAGTCAACTACAATTAATGGCACCAACTCTGCACATCCCTTCCTCCCATGGACTCCAGCCCCGCCGTCAACCATAGGTAAATTCCTCCTCCTCCTCTCTTCTTCTTCCTCTTCTTCTACTTCTTCTAATCTTCTTCAAATCTCCGGTTCTATGTTCTCTTCTTCTTTGGATTTTTTTGATTTGAATTTTATTTTATTAATTTGGATTTTTTGGATTTAAATTTTATTTAATTAGGAAAATGACACCTTTTAATCTCAGAATGTCAAAATTATTGGTTATTT